CTCACAGCCTTAACTGTCCACTTTGCTTTTTTTACTCTTAGAACTTCTCATTTTTAAAAGTCACGATAAAGAGACTTTTAAATGGCTGTAGGATTACTTTTTTGTTTGTTTTTGATTAATAAATTTTTTAAAACATTTCTTTCTCCTAAAAAATCAAAATACCCGAACATAATAAAAAAAAAAAATCTTGGTGACAAGTTTAAATTGTTTTGTTTTTTGTGAACGTAACAGAAATATATAGTTAATAAAGAAAAAAACTAATATATTAAACAAATTCATATTCTTTTCTTTCTAAATACTTTTAAGTGATTTAAATGATCTATTTAAAATAAAGTTCAAAATATCTAGCACGGATAAAATTATTCATGTGCTAATATAAGTATTTTGAATATGTATATGATGATTTATTTATGAAAATATCATATATTATTTATGAAAATATCATATATGCATTATTCAACTTTTCATTAATTCATAAATTTCGTGTAAATATTTAGTATAATGATTTGTGCGAGTTTTTTCGGTATATTAGTATCAAGATTTAAATCTCACGTAATTTATATTTTTAACAAACAAAAAAATATTTAAGATAACAGTCAAAGCTTATACAGTTTTGTTACTAGTCGGATTTAAAAAAAAAAAAAGTAACAGCCACAGTTTTTACAGTCATTTTCTCTATAGCCAAAAGTTTACAGACACACGAAACTTTAAAAACTGTGACTTTGTTTTAAAATTTTTAAAACCTAAATTTTTTCAATCTCACTTTTAACTTTCCTAAAATCACTCACAGCTCCTAAAATTTCTCACAGCCAATATTTTTTTTTCTCTTCTACATTCATGAAATTTTTTAAAAGCCAACAGTTCATGACTTTTTTTTTTTTTTAAATCACAGTCATAACTACAAAAAAAAGTGATAGCAAAAGTTTAACAGTTTCTTTTTTGTAAGTAACAGTCTCAAATAAAAGTCCAAACCAATCACCCCCACATTCTACATTCATAGTTCTTCCCAATCGGCCCCAAGCTTCAAAATGAGAAAAATTAGTTCAACATAGTTACCGATAGAGTATAAATAGGAGGAAAAAATACGTATTTATTTTTTGGACCTGTTAATTAATCTTATTTGGATTGGGTAATAATATGATATATTATTAATACAAAAAAAAGAGACTGATATCGCTAATTAATTACAATGTAGTTCTTGAGAGGAGTTAGAAGTTATTTCTTGACTTAAGGTTTTTGAGAGATCTTTAATCATATAAAGTATTCTCGTATAAGTTTGAATTCCTTGAGGATGAAGCAACCAATAAATCTGATAAAGCTTTTGGAAGCAACAAGAACCATTTCAGAAGGATTTGAAAGGGTTAAAGAGTTTGAAATCCAAGTTTATTAGATATTAATGTCAAAATAGTGGATGNTAAGATTGATTATTGATTTAATTAAAATACAGATCATATTGTTGCTTCGTATGACAAAAGTACACATTTTATTGCACAACGTGGTTCTTACTTCACATCCAAAGACCAGGTGGTTTGGTCCGTTACATTACTGCTTAGTGCTTCCTTACTGCAAGCATAGAACCAGGATAAGATTCAGATTCGGTATAAACCGTTAACCGGAGAATATTTAACAAATCCTAGTTATAAGACTTACCATGAATTTTTTCTTGAAAATCTCCACAATCTCCTTGGGATCCATTTTCGTTTGTGCATAGGCATCAATCTTGTTCATTTCCTGCAAACATAACTTAAGTACGAATCCCTAACGAAGAAAAGTATAATGTTTTATGACTTCATGGAAGATTGCTTATATAGATACCTCGATCCAAGCTGATAGTTTGGGACGTTCTGCGGTAATGTCATACTTAAACAACTCATTGAGTATGATTTGAAACCGTTCAATAAATGGAATATAGGCGATATCAACCTGAAAAACGAAAACCGAAGAATTCAAACAATCCATTTGAGACAAGTAAACAACACGAGAAGGAAAAAAAAAGATCTCTAACAATGCCAAAAACGCTTTACCAAGCTAAACTGGCCGAGGAAGAATGGCCCGTCATCGAACTTATGCAAAATGTTTTCCAGATAATCTAGCACAGGTGCTGCATCAAGAACATAAAATTTCCGGTCATTATCTCTTTTGCTTATATCCCACAAAAGCCTTAAACTTTTGAAGTGTTTAGAGTCTCACCGGTTTCTTTAAACGGGTCTCCTTTGAGTGATCCATACATAGTTTTAATGAATGTATCAGTGTATTTCAACAACTCTTCACCAGACTCTCGCTTTGCATGATCCTAGAGATGACACGAAAGGGCAATGAATTGGATCAATCAGAGAGTTAAAACTAAGGGAAACAAAAGCCGGTATGGTTTTACCTGGGGGTAAAGCAAAGGCCCCTCAAAAGTGTTATCGAGATATTTGATCAAATCCAGACTCTCCCCTATGATTTTTCCATTGTGCTCAAGAGCTGGCACCTGCAAAATTAATGAAATCTGTCAATTATTAACAATGAAAATTTGTAACACCAAAGGATCCAAAAATGAGAATTCTTGATAGCATATTGTGTAGTTATTAATCGATAAGGGTTTTTTATACCTTGTTCTCTGGATATACTTTCTCCTTGTACCAAGCAGGCCTATTCCCAAGATCCAAAGGAACAAGTTTAATCTTTTCTTGCAAACCCTACAATCCAAATAAACCAAATCTTAACCAACTACTTACCAATAAAGTTAACTAATTTCTCAAGAGAATCAAAATCAGGCTTAGGAAATCCTTATTTATTATATAGACCAAAAATGTAATCAGACTTACTCTCTGTCATACCTTAAAGTTTCTGGTGATCCAAACTCGTTGAGCAAATGGGCAAACGTAGCTTGTGTACAATCTTTAGTAAACAAAACAATAAAAGGGTAAGATCAGACAAACCCTAAGCAACTACAAAAACAACATAACAAGGAAATGAAGAAACCTTATGGTTCCATCGAACAGAGTTGGTGGATCAGATGTAGCATCGAGAGAAGCTGGACGATCTTCTACAACACTGTCTCAAAAACAAAAAAAATTGAAATTTCCACAAACCCATAGCCCAAAATCCGACAAAAGTGACAAAGAATTTGTCGAACGCAGAATCTCAAAATCGACCAAACTCATTATAAACTCGCAATATCGAGATAAGAACAAACGATGCAACAAGAGAAGAAAAATCTTACGAAGGAGAAGCCATGGACGAGATTTTATTACAGAGCACTCTTTCGAAGATCTGATTCGATAGGAATTTTGATCCCTAAAAACAGAGAGAGTTAGCGTTTTTCATACATGATCACTCCAATTATTACAGTAGGGAAATAAATTGTGATCGTCGATCAAGACACGTGGCAGTTTCGAAGATCTTTGTCGGTAACTTGATTACCACATAGTGGGCCCTAATGGATAATATTCAAACACTGAATTAAGCCCATTTTCTTAACCAAATCCATTTTTATTGTGTTAACATTTTACATTTTTAGAAAACTGACGTAATATTCGGTTCGGTTTGATTGCATTGAAGAAATCCACCGACCGATCAGTTTCGTTTCGGTTTAAGACTTAGGGCTTCCTTCGAAACCCTAAAGCTTCACTTACACTCGGTTTTTTTTTTCTTCTTCCAACTCACAGATTCACCAAGAAACCAAAAAAAATCCTTAACTCACAGGTTTTTACTG